GTACAACTAATTAAATGTCTTAAGATTAAAATCCATGCATATGGATTTATCATACCAATGTAGAAGAAGACAAGGCAGAGCCTGGGGGCAGAGTCAAGAGAAGAATCAGCCTAGAGTCATTACATTTCCACAAGTAATCCAAATCTAACCTCTTTTGAATTCTGTTAACTCTTATCTAGTGCCAATTTAGTGCTGACCATTGATTGACTAGATTTTTGTGTATGGGCATGATAAATCAGAACTAGAATTTAACATGTGATCCTGATTCTTTAATGCTTGACATCCACTTTAGATTCCATTAATTTTTCATCCTGGTGCCATCAAGACATATTTGGTTTATTGAAATACAAACCCCCTTATTTTTATGCATCTGAGAGATCTCATTTGAGGAGAGACCCATGGTTCCAATAGAATGGCTTCCATATATGTAATATTACAAATTACTCTACAAAGCAAATATGAACATTTGGAGTATGGTATCAGAAATAAAACTTTTACCCATATTTTTTTTTTAAAAAAATTATAAATAATTTTAAATATAATTTTATTTATTAGTTTATTAATATAATTTTCTTTGTAAAGAAAAACAACAAATTTGAAAAAGAAACTATTTGAACTTGTGCCTCCTTGTACTAATGTGGCTTATATTAAATTAGCATGGTGGCATCATTAACATTTCTAAATCAGGATTCATTTTTTAAGAGAGAAAAAAGATATTACACAAGTGGAATGAATATGATGCAAGCCAAGGTGAAAAAAAGGAAAACATTGCAAAAATCAGATATGGCTTATTTAGTCTGTTGGGACTACTTAGATGCCTGATCTGGGGGGGCGGGGAATGAAACATACAATTTAATAGAATGAGAAGTTTGAACAAAAGTGCAAACACCACTGTTTCTTCTCATTTTTCCTTCTTTGTTTCTTTTTTTCCCCAATAACTCCAACCAGAGAAAATTACATATTTTTTTAACTTGAGTCTGATTCCAGTGAAAACATTATAACTGAAACATAACTTGCCCCTGAATATGTTAAATATAGAAATATAGCACTAGCTAAGGCCACCTAAGTCCATTCATGGTTACTGTAAACTTTGTTTCAGCAATTTATTAAGGGGTAAAGATATTGTGTTGCTGCTATTGTTAATCAACCGGGAATCGGAAGCTGATTTTCCTCTAAATTGCATGACGATGGAAGTGTCAGTTCAAAGATGATTTCTCACAACTTTGATTTTATTGACTTTCTAAATCAAATTGGGAAGTGGATTCAAATTGTCAGACTGAATTAGAATTCTTTAAATTAATTCAAAGGATTTGGTTGCTTTTCATATGAGCAGAAGTTTTTCTGAATCAATTTGGAAATCAGAGTGGAATCAAACTCATTTGCCCTTCAGTTTCAACATTCAGAGTGAATTAGATCAGTTTTCCAAATTAATCCCAATTTGTGAATTGAGCCAGGTCATTTTTCTGAACTAAATTGATAATTTGACTGGATTATAAGTGAGTCATAGAGGACAAGTAGCATACAGATCCTAATTTCCATATCCTCATCTAGAATAGCAATAGCACTTATATACTGCTCCATTGTGCTTTACAGCACTCTCTGAGTGCTTTACAAATGTCAGCATATCTCCCCCAACAATCTAGGTCCTCATTTTACTGACCTCAAAAGGATGGAAGGATAAGTCAACCTTGAGTTGGTCAGGGTCAAATTCCTGGCAGTGGGAATGCAGAGTTAGCTTGCAATACTGCAGTCTAACCAGTGGTGGGATTCAAATATATGAACAACCAGTTCTCTGTGTGGATGCCGCTTCCGGAAGTCCATTCTGGGCCTGGGCAACAAAAAATTAGCTACCGGTTCTGCCAAAGTGGTGCAAACTGGCTGAATCCCACCACTGATTCTAACCACCGCACCACCATGGCTGAATACTTTTATTTGGTAGGGCTACAGTTGCATTAAAGTGGGCTGCAACTGGGTAGTCAAAAGATAAAGAGGAGAGAGTGGATGATGAAGATGATGATGGTGATGGTGGTGGTGATGATGATGATGATGATGATGATGATGATGATGATGATGACGATGACTGTGACAATGATGGGAAGGAGGGAAGGAAATTTTCTTCCAAGGAACCCAAAATTGGTTTATGCTATGGTCTAAAACATAATTCAGTTTGTTTAGTCTGGATTAATATCTGAAAATCTCCTGTGTATGAACTATAATATATGTGGGTTTAGCTATGATTCATTAATATGGCTCAGTCCATTTTAATCCTTTTGAATTAGATTTATAATCATGGAGTACCCAGCCTGTATTTATAGCTATGATCTGGCCTTGTTGAAATATGGAGTCCAGTGGGCAGTAAAATGGAAAGGGAAAGGTTTGTGAATCTCTTTGCCAATCTGATTAAAACTTTGATTTATTCACCATGCAGGTTCTGATGTTAACAATCCCTAATGATGCAGCATGCCCCAGTGATATGGAGTGTCAAATCATATGTTCTAATAACATATATCTTAGATCAGGAGAATGCAGTATTGCTAAATGTTTTGGGGACAGGTGTCATTCCTTTAGGAAAGTATTACTGCTCCACCCATTGAAGAATGCAAAATCTATATCCTGTTTTATGGAAAGAATTAGATTTATGCCTTTTCAAATGGGGGCAATTCTAATTTCTAAGTGGTCCTGTTAGTTGCCACTAATGTTGCTATGTAATTATATTAAGTATAGCTCAAGATGACATTTTGTAGGGAAATACATGCCCATTTATCAAAATAGCAAGCAAAATAGATTAAGACAGAATAACCTTCCTCACCTTAGTGGTTTCCAATGATTTTTGAGGAGGCTGAAAATTTCAGGAGCCTAGAAAATTCATTAATTAAAATGGGCTTAAACGATCTTTCTCTTTTGTTGCTTCCAATCACAGGGGGGAAAACCTGGTTTAGATTTAGGTCACTGATTCTCAACCTCAGCAACTTTAAGAGTATTATGGTTGGAAAATTTGGGAGTTGAAGTCCACACATTTTAAAGTAGCCTGTTTTAGGCTATGTCTCAGTGTTGACCTCCTAATAGTTGAGTTACACAAACACATTATGAGAGAATTTTTTTTAATAAAAAACTATCGGTTTCAACCCAAAGTAGCTCAATTAGAAATCAGTTTTAGTACACAAGATCTTTTTGTACTGACCAAGGTTTACATGTAGCTCAGTGAACTGTGAATTTGACACCTGGAATGTACCACTCATACTGAGCAAATGAGGATTTACATGTGATGAAATACGATATAAACACACATCACATATTTATGTGTTGAAATATGATATAAACACACCAATTTCCATACTTTCTAGGCATTCTCCCTCCCCCATTCACCCGTCTATGAAAGGAATGCTTTGTAAAAGATTCTTAGTCGTGGTGTTCCCACACTCTGAAACTGTGATCCCTGATAAATTTTATTGCTCCATAAAATTTTAAAGATTTCCATCCTGCATCTTCAAGAACAGGCAAACAGAAGTGTTGTTCTCCCAATCTTTATTCTCCATTGTTCGCTAGAATAACAGGATACTAATTACTCTGTATGAAAATTGAAAATTGCAGAGAATGATCACTTCCTTCTTTCAGATTATCTGTGATGACATGTATCCAGCCGATTTTTAATCAGTGTTAAGTACTAAGTCAGGCAAAGGTTTTGTTAATAACTGCTCACCCTGAAAGGATCTTACTAGTAGTTACCTTATCAGCAAAACTTTTACATGACTTAGGTAGACTTGATAAATGTCATCAGTTAAACCCCAGCAATTGTGCCTTCTTGCAATCTATTATATGATCCTCAGGGCATTATTCACATTTTAAATTTTGCACATTCACAGGTAATTCTGATGCCAGTGTTTTGTTTTTTCTTGACATTTCATCGGAAATAGAACTATGATGCTTTACCCTGGGTTTGCCATTATACAGTATATTGCAAAAGGAAATAGTTCCATCTTTTTGCTTTAGCTGGCAGTTGGGTAAAGAAACCACAGGAGCAGTAAAACTATCTAGTGGCTTCCTGATTTTACACATCAAAGATAAATCATTGAGTGGTTGTTTAGCTTAGCCTGTATTACAAATCAATCCACTTCCCCCCTCCAACCTCAGAGAAACAAAGAGAAGTTGTTCTTAATAAAATAAAAATAATTTATTGAAACATCTGTTTCTCAAAACAGAAGACAACTTCACTGAAGTCTGTCCTTAAGTCAGTACATTCAACATTGACAGGAGTGTACAACAAATTGTCTATATAAACACACACACAGCATTCATTTGAATTCTAGACCAAGTTTTTCTCTAAATGGTACTTGCCCACAGACTGAATTTGTCCCTAGCCAATTAGCAGATCATCATGCTCTGTATTTTAAATCAATTAAGTAATTGCTCTTATCACAAAGAAATCATACCACAATATTGGTATTTTTTGTAACAGTCATGAGGCAATCTGCTACATCTGTACAAAGCTGCATGATCTGCAGGGAACAACCTGCGTAGGGAAGCTGATACAGCTATGATTACATACTGCTGGCTATTTAAAAACAAAAGCCAATTATTCAAAGTATTTGTCAGGTCTCACAAAAGGTCAGCCTGCAAGAACAGCCCTAGAGCTTGTTTATATTTAAATATACAGAGAGGGCACTGGTTTTTCTTATGAGCATCAGCATATCCAGGTTCACATACAAAGCTGGATGATCCACACCAGTCCAATGCTGCACAAGACCTTACACAAACATATATGGGAAGGAAAATCAGCTTTCCTTAATAACTGGCCAGCAGTTTGTATGGTTACCTTTAAACATTAACAGGGCAACTTGCTAGAGTCTGCCCAAGTCAACTAGTTCCGTCAGCTGAATAACTGTAAATTGCCATTTGGGCAGATATCCTTTGCATTCAGTTCATCAGGCCCACTGAGCCAGCAAAGACACATGGTCCTCTTTCCTTTATTTGGCAAAATTATTCTTTGGATTTTTCTTCCCCTTCCTGTTTTATGGGTTCATGTCCCCTGAGGGTCTCTACTGATTGGTGACTTTCTGCATAATTCCTGGTAGAATTCAGATTCAAGGAAGCGAGGGTAAGAATTGTTCTCCATTAAACTATAAACTCTCTTCTGGGCGGCACTGAAGCATGTGTCTGTGGCTTCTTCGATGCTCTGAGCAATACTGCTTTTGGTCTGAAAGTCTATGTTGATCTGCAATACAAGAAAGAAATTCATAAAGATACTGTTTCATGGATAATGTGTTCTTCAAAAATGGCTGGGCTACAGGATATTGGATCCTCGAGCTATGCTCATTCCCCATCATCCAATAATCAGAGGCCAACTGCTATACATCTGTTGGCCAAAACAAGCCTATAGGGAAGAACAGTTGTTTTTAAACAGTCCTGCTCATTCTGCTGTTCTCCTACAGGATACTCTTCAAACAGCATAGCATTCCGAAAACTGAGGTCCAACTCATCAAGAACGCTGCTTCAAAGCAATTTAAGCTAGACAACATCCACATTGTGAATGACAAAAATTTCCTTTCCTATTGCCAAATCCTCCGGCTACAGTAATTATGATCCTCAGCTTTTAAAAATCTGTACCATACGTCTACTTGTACAACTATTAGATCTATGCAACACTTCAATTTTGAACCAGAAAAGGTGCTTTCCAAAATCCTGTCATGCACCCTAAACCTATATAGCAGTGCACTGACATATAAAGTTATAGAATGCCATACAATTTGAGAAACGGTAATGGTTAGAAAATCTGGGTGGCTTTTGAGTGACATTCCCAAGCACAGACCTATTTTCTCAACATTCAAAATTATTCCTACAGGCAATTCTGCATAAGATGCTAACATAAAATGGAGCAGAAACCTAAAAGGGATTTTGTTAATAAATTTTAAAAGCTAGTTTTAATTCTAACAACAGTTTTCTATAAGAGAGTCCTCTCTTTGGAATAATTCTCAGTTCCTTATTAGTGAAACCAAGCTGAGAACATTTCTTTGGTTTAATTGAACTAGTCAAAAAGAGCAATTTAAGTCAGTCTACTTGCCTCCTTAGGAGCTTCTTTTTCAATAAAGTCATTGTAAATCTTCTTAGCTTTGGCTGTCAGTTTTTGTGGAGACTTGATTTTCTTGTAATCTTCACAGGCCAGCCAGAAATCAATGTTCTCTTCACAAAACTCAGATTTCAGGAAAGCTCTGAAAGCTGCCAGACCATCTGCAAAGAAATGTGAAAAAGATCAATTCATGCAAAGCATCCCAGGAATGTTGTAGATGTAACACCACGCATTTCTTTCTTTCTTTCTCTCAGGCCCTTGGATTTTTCTGTCTATCCCTCCTCTAAATTGTTTAAGAAAGATGTACCCGAACAAAGCAGAAAGGACATGAGTAAGCTCAAACAGCTGGTCAGTTTTTACAAGTTAAAATATTGTAGATTGACAAATTTAAACAGTTGTGTTCTTTGCCCATCAAGCTAAGGTCACTATTTTTTTTCTTTCTTTTTTAAAAAAAGAACATTTCACTTTTAGACTTTGATAGCATGTGTTAAACTTTAAATAGGAGAACATGTTTATGGAAGAGCTATAAACTCTTGGAAGACAGCCACGATGGAAAGAGTGACCCAAGTCCACTTTGCAGCAAAGAGGACGCAATTAGAAAGTTTAATAAGAAAAAGATTTCTCTTGCGTAGCTGACAAGGGAACATTGAGCTTTGGTATCTTTATTAATCAAAGTGTGCACCAGTCATTTAAAAAGAACTACTGTACAATGCATTATTTATAATAACCATTAAAAAAATAGCAGCCCTGGAAGCTGCTGCCATATCAAGCAGCTAGGATCCATTTAAAGAGAAGAATGAGATCTTAAGGATCCACAGACTTCAAATTTCAATTAAAGTTGGGACCCTGCATTTCCAACTTTATAACTGATCGGAGTTTTTAAACCTATGAATGTTAACTACAAAGGCTAACTAAATACAGAACAGAATTGCAGAAATACAACAACATAGACAGCTACTTCACAGAAAGCACCTGGGAATTGTGCCTGAAGAAGAAAAAAGCTTTTTCTTGCAATCTGGGCCCCAGTAGAGTTAAGTAGTAAACTAAGAATAAAGATTACTACCAAACTGCAAACATACATCAGAATTATCAGTAGCTAAGATACTGGTTTGTTCACTTTTCCTGAAACTATTTTTTTATAATTAGCAAATATGCTTGTCTGTTAATTTTTTAAAGGCAACTTACATTTGTTAGCTAGAAGTTCATCAAATGTTTCTGACCAAAGCTGAGCTTCTTCAGGAGAAGGTCTGTGAAAAAAACAAACAAAATTGTTTAAGGTTTTCAAAGGGCACAGATTCTATGAAAATAATTTGACTACATAAAGATTCATCAATGTAAAATATGAAGTACATACCTAAAACATGTCTTTTGTTGTCCTCTCTTGTTAGCCTTTGCATTGGTAGAATTGGAGGAATTCTGCAGAAAGTAATTCAATCTTGCTTTCCAATCTTTTAGGCTAAAATGAAGGGAAAAAGAATAAATAAGTTCAACTGAACTTTAACCAAAAATGCCACATAGTTTAAATTTGTAGTTAATAACTATAGATGGAGTTCAGCTTGCTTAATTTAACATTAACAGAGCTTAGTTGTAGCACAGGTTTTCCAGATCCATTTGGAAATTTACTAACTATAGCTAGTAATAACTAATGCAAATGCACATCTTCACTTCCTGAGACATGAATTATGTGAACTAAAAGTTATTAACCATACTTAAGAAATATTATGCAGCAATGCTATTGGTTGCTTGATGTTCACTAGCCCATTCATTTGCAAGAAAATTCTTACATATTGTTTGTGGCGGTGAACTAACAATGACTGTTCCAGAATACAACTTCAGTAGTCAATAGTATGTTCTAAGCCCGCAGGGGTCCTCAACCTTGGCAACTTTAAGACTTGTGGACTTCAACTCCCAGAATTCCTCAGCTGGGAGTTGAAGTCCACAAGTCTTAAAGTTGCCAAGGTTGAGGACCCCTGTTCTAAGGTTTATTGCAATATAAACTAGTAAAAAGGCAAGATATGAAATCCCATTCATTTCTGTTGTTGTAAAGAGACCCAAATGAAAGCAGTTTTATATTCTTTCCCTTAACCTTAACTTTCAAAGTAAAACTGTTTGCATGTTGCAGACTGCATAATAGCATAAGACAGAATTTTAGAACAGTCACAATTTTCACAATCTGCAGAAGGAAGTTATGTTTTCTCAGCTACCAAGGGATTCTCCTTTGCAGACATTTTTAATTCTCTTTTAGAAGAGATTAGCAGCAAATCAAGATCACTCATCGGCAGGACTTTAATACTTCATATAATTAGCAAAAACAAGGAAGACTTCATATCACAAACTGCACTCACCTGCCATTCTAATGGAAAATCTACCTTATTTACTCAAGAGCTGGGCTAGTAACCAAACTGCATGACTCAACGTGATTAAAAAAAAAAAAGGAACTTTAAGAAGCAAAATTGCCTCCAAAGAATTTTAGCTCTCAAGTAAATTAGAATACTGGGAGACCAGAATTTAGAGGACTTCCTTTGTCCCATTCTTTTTAAATGCTTCCAATTGCTTCTAAAAGCAATTGGATGCACCTTCATACACACTATTTTTATTCAGTTTCATAGCACCAAAGCACAAGAGGAAGTGCTTGTAAATGTTTTAATGCATCATACAGGCAACACCTATGCATACAATCTGAGATACTGAGGTGTTGAAAACCCAAAATTAATTTATTGAGATTAGTCATTTTGGGTATAGTATGCACATAGAGAAATAGTTATCTAATAAATCAGCTGCTTGGTTTTGCACAATACTTTGAACCATAAATCAAACACCCCGAGATCACACAATGTTAAGCCACAAAGAAACTAAGGCTAAAGTTATCGTACTGTACAAGGCTTAATAATTGGTCTTAACATTGTCAATCTTCCTTTACCTTCCCAGCAACTTTAGAAATACGCTCATTCCACCAATGCGGCTAAAACGGGCTCAGCGGAGCCCCCAAATTGGCCGGAAGGAAAAAAACAAACCGTTTACGTTCCTGAGGCTTTTGCCAAACTAACATAAAACCTTTCTTGTTAACGATGTCAACGACTAAAGTTCCAGTGTTTCTCAATTTTAAGTGTTTCTCAATTTTAAGGCATGTGGACTTCAACTCCCAGAATTCCACAGCCAGCAATGCTGGCTGTGGAATTCTGGGAGTTGAAGTCCACATGCCTTAAAATTGTCAAGGTTGAGAAACACTGCAAATACTGATTGCAACATTTTAGCCACATTCCCTTGGTTTTTTTTTTTCTTTCTTGCTTTCGATTTAAAATACTTACATGGTTCTTTTCATCTTGCCCTTTTTCTCTTCTTTGCTCTGGCAACGGCTAGCGCTTTTCTCCATTCTGATGCGGTCGTGCTGGAACGCCAGAAATATTACACTCTGCATACTCTTCCGATACAAGACACCCGTCTCAATCTGACAGGAGGCTTTAGCGTCTCTCGGACCCGCGTGTCCCTTATATTAACGGGAGGCGGGGCTTCGAGCGCACGCCTTTCGTCCGCTGATTTGCTATTCCAGCCGACAATCGACGGACGCCTCCCAAATAAGGCGGTTTGCCCGCCAGGCGGGCTGAGGAGTGCTGCTCTGACGCAAAAAGCCGTCTTCTTCTATCCATCTTGCTCTAAAGCTGCCGGTTGATGCAAAAGGCTTTCCTTCTCTCCCCTTTCTTTCGCGTAATTTATTTATTTCTTTTTTTAAAAAAAATAGAGCTTTTTAAATAGTTACATCTTTGGCTGCCAGGTAAAAATAGGCATCCGGCAGAATCCCTCTGCAAATCGGGAGATGCAAAACTCGGTTTTTGTTTCTTTTTCTGGGAGGGCAGGGCTGATGTGGCTTGGGGAGGTTTGTTTTTGTTTTTGTTTTTGCAGGCGGGTTAATGGCCCAAAAGGCTATTCAAGAGGAAAGGACTTTACCTGCAGCTTTTCGTACATGAGGATTAAATCCTTAAGCAGCAAACCTTGCTGTGGTTTCATAGGTTTGCATTAGCAAACATCTGCTAGGGTCACTACAAGTGGCTTCTCAGTAAATATGGGCTTTACAGGCTTAGGCTGTTAGGCTCCTGGGAAGAAGTCCCAGCGAATTCAATAAAACATTTCTGAGTGAAGAAACAGCATTTTAATTGAGAGAGTGAGATTCGTGACAAAATTCAGAGGTTATGGGAATAAGTGTTTTGATCTTGGACTAGAACACACTGTTATGTGTGAGTTATTTTATGCAACCCTCGATTTACCCTTCTGGTGTGTCCGAATGCCTGCCAAAAATGACAGAACTGATAGATATGGGAAAGTACTTTTCTCTGGGTGTTGATCTTGGAAGTATACCACTCCTGCCCCTGCCCACCCACCCACCCACCCCTCCCACATAAAAATAAAACTTATCTAGAGACTGCTTTATTTGATTGGAACAAGATTAAGGAACAAATGTTCAGCCATGTGGCATAAAATAGTCCCCTGCCTGGATCTGAATGGAAACATTTGTGTTTCTTTAAATAGTTTTTTTCCCCTTTGTGGTTAAAGTACACTTCTCTGGGTGCTGCTGTTGGAGGAGGAGAATTGGGTAGACTGCATCAGACACGTGGAGTGGCTAGGCTGATAGAGGATGAATCCGGGGATGTGAGCTTTAGCTCATAAAAGCTTATGCTTTTTAATAAAATGGGTTAGGTTTTTTTTGGGGGGGGGGAAAGTTGCTATTGGGGTCCCTTTGATTTTGTACTACCGTAATATTTGAGTTAAATTGAGATTTGCACTGAATGCTTCTCAGGTCATGCATCTACCTCAATATATAAATAAATATGTTCTTAGAAAATCCGATGAAGGATGTGATGACAAACAAGTAGGTAGAAATTTTAATGTTTGTAAAATTCATTTCTTGGTTTGCTGATTTGGGCTATCCATACTTAGGACAATTACTAACCCAAATAAACAAACTAAAAATTAGTTTCAGTTGAACGATTCCCCCCCCCCCCCAATATTATTATCACTGTACAAGCCTTTCTCTTTCTGGCCAACATATATTTATGATTACATAGCTAATGGGCATGTTTAGCACATACCTCTGTGCTAAATCCTCAGGGATTCTCTTTTCTTTCCAATTTTGCAAATGCTGAGTTTCTCCCAAGCCTGGTGATATTTCCCTCGCATAGATGATGATATTCTTTTAGTTATATAAGTGACACTCAAGCATGAGGTTACTAAACAGGTGCACATATTTTACCCAGAATATTATCTAATCTTATTCCAGTTTGTTTCCTGTTTGCTTTTATGTAGATCCTGCTAATTAAATCCTCTAGATTATTGCATTTAAAATAATCTTCTGAAAAAAACAATCACCCTAAAAATGTTGGTAGAAGACATGCATATGATAAATCTCTTCTATCTCCTTCCTACCCTTCCTCTTCCTACTGGTTCTCTGCTCAGATATTTGAGATGATTTTCTGCTGTGAAGATTTTTGACCAGCAGGGTTTGATATGGTACTTCCAGATGACTACGGTACTCTTTAGGCATATTACATTCTATGTCCCTTTCCACAGCTATAATACTCGTTTGTCTTAAAGATTTTCAGAGGATTAAAAGAAGAGAGAATACATAGAAATGTTTACTGAAACACAACACAGTTGTCTACATTATATCGTTCTTGGCAGAGAGCACCCAAACCATACATCAGAAGTATCTCCCATTTGAAAAACTTTGCTCGATGTTTAATCCATGGGACAAGACAGATAGGATAGATATGATGGAAATAATTGGGTTCCCGCATAGTATTATATACTTTGTTTGATTTAGATGCAGTATTTAGATGCTGTATGAATACAACATTGACATTTGGAAGAAATGATTTATTACTGAATACAGAAGGTAAAGCCAGAATATCAGCACCATGATGCTTTCTTATTTTTTCACCACCACCCTTTTTCCAGGAATGGTAAACCCAGTCTGAACTGGACTTGACTATGAGAGGATAAGAAGAATACTGTAACTCTTCCCCTAATAGGCTTGCATTAACATTGCCAAGGAAGGCAGCATAAACCTTGCTTGCAAATGGATTCAGTGTAGTTTACGGAAATCAGTTGTATACAAACTTTGTGTTACGTCCAGAATGAATGCCTTTGGGCTGATCAAAGAGCAAAATCTTTGTGTGGCCTGGAAAGGGTTTTGATTATAATCTTCCAACCGGAATTGAGCAACTGTAAAAAGTTGTCTAGATGGCATGTAACAAAACCTGGAAGTGAGAATAGCCACCCACTTACTAGGAGCAGACAAACCAGTTAGGCTTTAAAATAGGAAGAACCTGAAACCTAGCTCTAAGCCTTACTCAAAATAAAACCAGCAAAACTTTCAGAGTCATGTAACAAACGTAAACATTCCAGCTTCCTGTTATCCCAGTATGACTTTTCTCCAGCTGTAATGCACCATTGTTTTATTGCTCAATAGGTGTTTCCTCACTTTCTAGGTGCCTGATTTGATTCCACTGAAAAATATATTCTAACTTATTGATTTAAGGGGAATGAATTAAAAAAAAATCTGCTCCTTACTGAACAGATTGGGCCATAGATTGAAGGCTGCAATCTTATATGGCATTACATTCTGTAATAGTTACTTTAAAGCAGGAATGGGCACCTGTGGCTATATTGAATTGTTGAATGAGTATCGTGAAGTCACATTCATTATTTGCTTATTAGATTTATATTTCACTTGTCTGTTGGAAGCTTAACTTAGCCTACATAATATTTCCTCCTTTATCTTTTTTTCCAAAACAACAACCCTTGGCTGGGCTAGGGAATTACAAAGAATTATTGGTTCAGAATCTACCCATATTTGAATTTCCATGGGTAAAGCTGGTCATAGTACCAGCCAATCAAACAGCCCAAAACCAGATCATGACTCAGAAACGTCTGGACAAATAACACCCAAATCAATTTACATCACACAAAAAGGTATTTAAAGGCCAGTGCTCTGACAAATGAGCACAATTCAAAGGGCACTGAAGATGTCCCCACAAAGCTCGGAGATCAAACAGCCCAACTACCAACCCAAGTTACTAATATTCAAACACATCTCAGTACTGGGTCTTTCCAAGTCCAAATATAGTTGTCTAACCTCCGTCTAAAGACTTAAAATGAACACCATTGGGTAACTGTGTCTGCTGCTGAACTCGTGTTAGGAAATTTTTCTAACATTCAGTCAGGATCTGCCTTAAGCTACAGTTCTGAGAAGCCTATAGCAAGATGATCATAGGTAAAGAACAGAAGTATAATGCTATAATATAGGAAGATCAATATTAGGAGGCTATTGCTTTTTCTGCAAAAACAAACAAGGTTATTTATGCTTGCTGGGACAAAGGTGGAAGTTCTTTTTTTCTCTTTCATGTTTCTTTCTCTTTTTTTGCACTTATTTTTTCTTTGTACCATTTTATTTTCTTATATTGTGTATTAGTTTTATCTAGACAATCTAATCTATATAAATAAAAATGTAAATGTTCATTTGTTCAAAATCTTAACTCTCCGAAAGTTCTTCACCGATTGCTTTGAAATTTTGACACAACGTTGCATTTGAATACACGCGTGTTTTTATATACATATACCTACTATTATATAGATGTCACATTTGTGACAGGTAAAAACATGCTTTTTTTGAAAAACAGCACCATCTGTTGGACGTAAAAGCAACACACTTCTTTTCCATTTAACCAGACTGAGCCACAGCAACGCGTGGCCGGGTACAGCTAGTTTGTAATAAAATTATTCTGCATAAAAGAGAGAGGCTATTGCTGTTCCTAAGTATATCTCAATGCAGGTTGCAAATATCAAGATAACCTGTTCTAATAATTGTCTAGGATGTATTTATCTGCATAGTCTAGGATCTATTTATCTTTGCTCTTGTTCCAGCCCTTTAAGAAGAGCTGAGTGGCTGAATTTGCCCCTAACTTTAATTTTCTTCAGTGCCCTGAGCTACATCACATAAAGACCTTATGGGACATAAAATATCAGTAAGTTCCTTTATTTTGTTTAATGACCAACATAAAAAGACAAGAACGGTAGAGCATAGGGTAGGCAGTTGAAGAACCAATACAAAGCAAAGAATATCAGATCCATTAAAAAGATGGCTTCATTCCATTACCTACCATTGCTTGAAATGCTGCAAACAGATCCCACTGACAGAGGTGAGAGCATTGCATTCTATATCTGATGTTTCTAGTTTGCCTTCCAGATACATGGAACTTCAGTTTCCAACTAAAGCAGAACTATGTATAGATACCGACTTCAAGCCTTGTTCCGACACAATTTGAAGTTCATGAGATAGCATTTCCTTCCTTACAGAGGAGATAATGCTGTGTTACTTTAGTGACACACAATATAACATAAAGCATGGTAACAAAAGAATATGATTAAAAAAAAGAAGATGGTGTAAACAACAAGAATAATAAATAAATAATAAAAATGTCCCCATTGACTTGTTCATCTTGTTTTGGAAGCATTTTATTACAAAGAGGGTTTAGCACTGCAGAAGAACATTTCAGAAGTTAACAAATGAATTCATGAAGGTTCCCTTTGAGACTCCTCACATGATAACGATGAATGGAAAATTAGGACATTTCCTCTCTGTATTTGGCACTCCTTGGCGAGTGGAAACTCTCACAATGCCTCCAATGTTTCCCTTATCTTTTTTTATTAT